TCTCAAGAATGAAACAAGATTAATGTAGATGCCTATTGCAAGGAATAACCACAATTCAATATGCATGATAAGATATGATTATTTTGTCACAATATTAAGACTAGCCGTTCTTCTGATAAATTAGAATATTGTAAGCTTAGACCTATTCATTTTTGTGAATAAGTTGATTTTGTTGCTTATTGATTATATCTACCAAAGTCTATGAGGATCCATCCCACATTTCACTTATCTTTTTTTAAATCATATAAGATAGTGAATATCTTGGTAAGAAGTTAAATGCCACTCCTTCTTATAGAAATGGATAATAATCAAGAGTTCAAGGTAGAAGGAGTCTTAGATACAAGGTGGTGGCAAAATAGGTTTGAATATCTTATTCATTAGCACAAACATGATATTTATGAATATGCATAGAAACCAACATAAAAATCTTAAAAATATAACAATAAAGATTGAAGCTTTTTATTAACAACATCTATCAAAATCAAGATAAAAAATAGCAAGATCCATGAAAGATGATAGTTGCTCCTCATGGAACTCATTCCTAGAAAGAGTGGTAATATCCCAAATATACATATTTATTCTAATAATTATTTATATAGTTAGATAAAAATAGGTATAAATAAATTAATTTCATAATATCTTTTAGATAAGCTTTATAGATATGATTTGAACTTTACACACATTTGTAGTTAATTGATAGGTTAGAAACTTGATCAACAAGTTAAGTACATGTTATAAATGTTGGTAGCTTATAAAATAAGCTAACTATGTAGTGCACATATAAAAAACTTGTCTTGCAAATTAAAATATATATCTTATTAAGTTAACATGTCTTCGAGGTCCTATAGAACATTGTCATATAGCTCCTTATTAAATAATATATATAGAGGCAAGAGTGAAGTCTTCTTCATTCTTATCAATGCTTTTATAACCCTTAGTCTTGTTTCAAGACTTTTTTAGTCTTCTTGTCTTTGACAATAGATATTTTAATTCAATATATTATCATCTTTGAATAATTTTTTAGTCTTTTCAAGTGACACAAGAGTATATTGAAGATTTCTTTCTTTAAGATTCATGTCTTTAATAATTATTTAAAGACATTGGATTATTATAAGTTGGTCATATGTCTATTTTTATTAATAATCAAAGTTGCATTTTTTTTCAGAATCCTACATTCTATGCTTATACTATGCTTATAGAAATTCAACATTATTTTATTCATGAGAAGATTGAACTTGACAAGATCAACTTTTTTTTTTGCAGGACTAAAGATATGATTGTGGATAATTTGACCAAAAGTCTAACTTGTGAGAAGCATTCTAAGTTCAAAGAAATGATAAGAATCATTAAATTAAATTAATTTAATATATCATTAAATAAAGTATTAAAAGAGTGTTTACATATATATATGTAATTTTTGTTAGACATTATATGATTATTTATATGAATAGTTGAAATTGCATTACTAGTTGATAACTTGTAGCCGCCACATTAATTGGTCATTAAAATATAATTATTTCTACTTACGAAGTTGTCATGTAGCTTAATAAGTTAAGTATCCACATGTCAATTGGACCTTGGCGGCTAAGCTAGTTATTAGTGTAATTTCATTAAAAAGTCCATGTCAAAAAACCTCTTGTATTACAAGAACTAAAACCCAAGAATCATTTCAAGCAATTAATTCTCTTGAATCCTTAATGGTTGGTTTGTAAGTTCATATATATTTCACATCATTATACTTCTATCCTATAGCATTATATATCTCATATTTTTGACAATTGACAATTATATGCATTAGCATATGAAAAATAGGTTCTTTTAATAATATTAAGATTTATGAAATTTTAAAAATATGCATAATTCTGTAATAAAATCAAATAAATTTTCTATGATGTTTCAAATTTAATAAAAAAATTAATCAACTACAATTTTTAAAGCTAAATTGAAAAGAAATGAATTAACTATAGTTATAGCTGATAAAAATAGAATAAAAAATTATCAAATACAAAGAAGTTAAAATTAATAATTTTATATAATTATATAATTATACTTATATTTAAATAATTTTTATTTAATACTTCAGCAAAGAATTTGAATTTATCATATTAAAAATCATCAATAGATGTTATTACAATTAAAAGATAATTAATTTAAATTCTATAAATAAAATTTTGAATTTAAAAAATATGTAAATTATCTAAAAAAAGAAAATTATGCAATCCATACTTGTATAAAAATATTTAAAAAATAAATTTTTATTTAATTTAAATATCTTATATATATATATATATATATATATATATATATATGTGTGTGTGTGTGTGTGTGTGTGTGTGTGTATGTATGTATGTATGTATATATATTTTATATTTATATTTATATTAAATAGAAGTTAAATATAAAAATAATTAAGAATCTTAATTAAGAATCTAGTTTTTTTGATAAATTTTATTTCTCTTTAAAATATAAAACTTAATATTTTCTACTTAATTTAAGATTATTTACCTGTAACAATAAGACAAATCTTTTATATGATATAAATGAAATAATATTTATTATAAATAAGATCTAATATTTTTAAGTAATGCATTCAAACTGAATAAGTATTTTTATAATTAAGTTTTTATAATTATTATATAATCATTTAAAAAATCATAGATTTATTTATTTATTTATTTATTCTCAATTTAAATAATTACTCGAAATATTTTTAAATATAATTTAGAATTAAATTTTAATTTTTTATATTATTATGTATAATATTATTTATTTATTTTAAAAATTATATTTTTAAATTTAAAAAATAATACTAACTAAATATATAGATTTTTTTATAAATATTTATTAAAAGATATTACAATTATTAAAAAAATTGGATGTTGAATAATTTTATTTATGGCTTATGATGGTATTCTTGATATCAAAGTAAAGCTTTTGTATCCACATTTATATTAGAGACGTAATTAAATTTCTATCATCTCTAAATAAACTTTTTTTTTCTTTAAAAATAATTACATTGAAATTTATTACCCATGGATTGTATTAGATCTAAACTTCAATTCATAAGAAATTTTAGTTAAGTCAATTTAATTCTTTGACTAATAGTTTATTCCAACTTCACTTATTACTTTAATGTTCTTTTTTTTGCATTACTTAAGTTGATTATACAAATGATATTTTAAAATAGTAATATTTAATTTTGGAATTGTTTTTTATTATTTTATTAATAAAAAATAAAAGATAGAAAAATATATTTTTCTATTTCACATTTATAAAATTAAGTTTTTTAGATTTTTTTGTGCATTTTTGCACATTTGAAGTACCAAAAATATTTTTAATGAATCAATTACTATAAATATGTCTTATGTCTCTAATATTTATACTATTTTTTAAAAATTATTGGAAATGACAATTTTTATTTATTTCAATAACTAAAATATATCATGGAAGTAAATAAGAATTGTCATTGCCAATAACATGAAAGAAAAGTAAATGGTTCTCTTATGATTTGATTTGATTTGATTTTTTCTTTTCTTACTAATGTTTTTTTAAGAGTGGTTGATAATTGACTTAACAACCACATGTAAAAACTTAAAGTTTTTTTTGCGCCCAATGGCATGGATTTCTGCTTGTCAACCATAAATCATGAGTATTTTAACAACCTTAAAATCTGCTATTGATGTTATGTAAACATTTTTTATTATTATATAAAAAATATTCAATAATAACCTAATTAATTTCACAATTATTATATCTTATATAAAATATTTATTATAGAATGATCACTGTGTAATTCAATTTTTTAAAAAATTCACCAATCTAAATAGCAATAATGATGATTAATATATATATATATATATATATATATATATATTGATGTTATATTTTTTAATTAATTTATCTACTTCGTGATTAAAAATAAAAATATAAAATATAAATATATATAGGTAATGTTTTTAATAAAGTGTTGACAAATTATGTGATGAAGATAAAACATGAGGAGCATCGAAGAAGAATTTCAAATTAAAAAGAATGTCTAAAAAAGAAACTAAACTAAACTAAAAGGCATTACAAACGAACTAAACATGACACACATAAAACAACAAACAAATATTTCTTTTGGATGAAAACACTTTTGCAAACACACACACGTGTATATATATATATATATATATATATGTGTGTGTGTGTTTATATACATGTGTGTATGTACACTTGTAAGAGAGAAATAATAATAATAATAATAATAATGGCAAGTGTCATGTGCTGGTTGCTTTTGGATCCTCATTGATTTATTTATTTACATTTGTAAAGCAACTAGAAAATATTAAAAGTGGGCATTAATGGAGGCCCAATCTACTTGAAAAGGGGACTGGACCACACGCACACTTAAGCGTGTTCCTCTTTTAAAATCTTCCATAAAATCAATTCGAAGTATATATGTAGTCAATCATTAATCATTACATTAGCTTTTCTTTTTTATTTAAAAAACACTCTCCCCTGCATCCTCATTATCCCATACTTATATATATATATATATATATACATATATATATATATATATAAATAGAAGAGCGAGTATTTTGGAAGAGAGGACACACAAGAGAGACATGCACCACAGGTGGACGATGCAGTTCATCTGTAATAGTAACCAGGGGTGACAATAAAACGAAGGGTGATAGTAACGAGGGGGGATCCGAGCGGATTTAGCGAGGCAAAAGGGGGGGGGGATTTCGTCAGCAAAGGCGCGGGGGCAATATAAGAAGAAGAGAAAAGAAAAGAAAAAAAACAGGACGGGGCAGAGGAGGGGACCTGCCCCGTCCTGTTTGCATGCCAGCCGTCCATTCCTCGTCACAGCGCTCATCACAAAACGTCGTTTTGCTAAACAAACACAACACAAGGAAGGAATAAAACACGACAATTCCCTCCTCCTCCTCACAGCAATAACAAGAACAGCAACGCACTACTACTACTACTGAACTGCACAGCACTACACAGAACAGCACAGCACACACCCAGTATAGTAAAAACAGGGGCCACCCATCCAAGCCTGACAGGCATCTGCGAATACGAGAGAGAGAGATAGACGCAGTCAGCCCCACCACCACCACTACTACAACCCTCCACCTCTGCATCGGTATCTCCGCTGGGGCCTCACAACGGAATGACTCATGTCGCAGATTCATCCCCAAAGCCTGGCTGCTGCTGAGTGGGTGGCTGGCTGCCCTTTATGCTGCAGATTCCTCCAAGGGTGACCTTGAGTGACGGTGTTGTTGTTGTTGTTGTTGTGTAGAGCATTGTGTGAGCCAGTGCCGCAGTAAAGTGTGGACAGAGTAAGTAGCAGCAGTAGAGCAGTCAGCAGCAGCATAAGCAGCAGCCAAGCTGTAGCAGTAGCAGTTAGAGAAGGAGTCGCATCAGGCGTTTCGTGGGTGGCGCTGCCTTCCCCCACCAAACCATCGCTGACTTGCGAGGCCCTTAATGGGTCGTTTCTGGTGGCCTACTTTGATGGTAACTGGCGTTGCATTCATTCATTGCTGGGAGCTTTAGTGGTGGAGGCGTTGGGGGTGGTTGTGATTTCAGCTGGTGGGGTGGAGGAAGCAAGGGAGCGAGAGGGAGAGAGAGAGAGAGGGATTTAGGGTTTTTCGGGGGAGGAGTGCCTATGGCGGAGCGCCCAATGCCAATGGGGATGGAGCGTGTCCGTGTGAAATTCGAGAGTGGGTGTGCGTGCGACGAGGGGGCAGTGTGTGAGCGTCGCCATGGCTGCTAGAGTTGGTGAGAGGGCAGGTAGTGGGAGTAGTAGTGCCACTGTGAGGCGACAGAGAGCTGGAGGGGTGGATTTCAGGAACAATGGCAGCGGAGGAGGGGTCAGTGAGGTAGTTATCATGAAGGGAGGAGGGATTACGGGAGTTGGGGGCGGGGCGCCGTCCGTGACGCCATTTATGTTGCACAACTTGACAAAATCATTGAGTGAGAGCAAAGAGCAGGAGGAGAGAGGAGTGAGTGGGAGGAGAGGGCTGAGTGAAGGTTGGAAGGAGAGGGAGAGGGCGACGGCGAAGCCAGGGGAGTCGGCAGCAGCAGCCGTGGAGAGAGCGAATGGGCAGGGGCGGGAGAGAGAGAGGGTCAGGATTCGAGATCAGGAACTGCGCTTCGATGCGGAGAAGGAGCTGGGGAATGGCGTGGTGCTGTGCAAGGAGAGGTCGGATGGGATGCAGTGGAAGTATGTGAGTAATCTTGGAAGATCTGGGGAGAATACCATGCAGCTTATGTATGCGCAGCAGCATCGAGATCCTTTGGCTGTATGTCCTCTCCTCCTGTTGATGGATTGAATAGCATGGAAAATTTTAATGGTTCGCATTTGGGTTTCTCACATACTGACCCAGTGGAAAGTGTGGTCGTATGTGCTGAATTTAGGCGTTCGGATTATCGTGATTTTGTGACATAGTCCAACATAGTACACAACTTTCTGTTTAGTAAACCTTTTCTACGGCATATAATGGTTCCATGGTTATGAAGATTGCCGTTCTAATTACTAATAGAAAAGAACAAAAAAGCGGGGGAAAAAAAAGTAGGAAGGAGAAATTCTGTGGTTTGAAATGGGTGCGAGATTACAAATTACTAGATGCCAAGTGCGGAGGTTTAAGGCCGGGTGCAAGGGTCCTGGTTTTCGACGTGTGTATCTAATGGACAGAGGCTCTGATTGCAGGAATTAGTTTCATTTGTGAAGGCGTACATTGTGCCAGAAGGTTATCCTGACAGTGTTGCACCTTCCTACACACCATATATGCAATGGCGTGCCGTGCAGGTTTGTGCTTGCACAGCCATCATTTCTGTACCGATGCCCAACTTTCTGGCATAACATTTATTTATTTATTTATGTATTTGTTTTTCAACTTATGCTTCATTTCTGGAAAGAATTGTGTCCTGGAAGGTTAATTCAGAGTATTTAATAGTAGTGTAAGGTGTCGTGAAGACATGTTTCTCCGTGTCTTCGCTTGCATTGTTTACTCTTTGTGGTATATCTATTAGTATTGGTGTTCCTTCACTTCATTTTATCTCGGGTAATTTGTGCAGTACTTTTTTGGAGGTGCAATGAGCGTGTTCACTACGCGGTCGCTGATGCATGCGTTGGGCGTATCCAGAGGCACTTCTGCATCTTCTGCTGTCGCTGTCAACTGGGTCATAAAGGTCAGTATACTGGTCAGCGTTTTGAGTTCTAAAACCTCCTCTGAGGCAATTGATAGCTTGAAATATGAGCTGTCATGCTCTATTTACTGGAGAAACTTCACTCCCGAATGACTGGTTCAAGATCGACATTCCAGGCAAAAGTGCGAATTATTAGTTTTTTCTATGTGAAGTAAAATCCTCGTTGTAACCGAGACAAAGCAGCAGGCTATTGGTTGATCATTGGAACCAATTGATGTTTGTAAGTTTCTCACTGTTTCTTGGTTACAGTTTATGAAGTTCTAGTTCTTAAACGGTGTGTGACTAACTTCCAACCCATGTTGTTGAGCAGGACGGAGCAGGACGTATAGGGAAAATGCTTTTCGCTCGACATGGCAAGAAGTTTGATGTGGATCTTAAGCAGGTGCTTTTACTTATCCTTGTGTTTTTGGAACAGTTTTATCTACTCTTTGCACGTTTTCACAAGCCGAGATGTTGCATCCGTTTGTGGTAACATCACAAGGTTAAGTGAACCAGAAGGGCTTGTTTATTTTTCAGTTGCGCTTCAAAGGAGCAATGCTGATGCAGTTGGGCGCAGGCGTAGAGCTTACTACCATGGCAGTGCCTCATCTCTTCTTACCGCTGGCATGCGCTGCCAATGTAGCCAAGGTACGTTCTTAACACTTTCTTGAGTAGTTTGAAATAGAAAAAAAAAAAAATCTTTTTGATTGTGTAGTTCTGGATCTGCAACAGTTAACGTTCAAACTTAAGAATTTATGAGATACAGTTTGAGCTTCGCTAGTAACTTGTAAATATCAATTAACCAATGCTGGTATAAGTTCTTTCTTATTGTCTGTACCTCAGATCATAGCATTCAAAGTAAATCTGCAAGCTCATTTACTAGTTATTCTTTTATCAAATCTTACACTGCATCAAAGGTGATATTGTGTTCATGCATGATGGGTTTAGAATGTGGCGGCTGTGACTTCATCGTCAACTAGGGCTCCCATATACAAAGCCTTTGCCCGGCGAGAGAACATTGGAGACGTTACAGCCAAGGGAGAATGCATCAGTAATATTGCTGATCTGGTAAATGTTCCTCTTACTTCAAGGTTGTGTAGAGATCAAGATAGATCTGTCGAAGAAGTCCTTTCTGGCTCTTACTCGGCTGTATGGAGGTCTCAACACATTTAACTTGATTATCAATCGCTATAGATTTTCGTTCCAACCTTTGTATCAATGAATTTTCCTGGTTGTCTCTGAGATTGATCGGTGATGTCCAAGCGATCCTGATCAGTGTGGGATATTATTCGTGAACCGTGCAGCTGGGAACTGGACTAGGAATCTTCATCTCCAAGAGGAGTCCTTCCTTAGTGGCTACCTTCTGTGTGCTCTCGTGCGGATATATGATCTCCTCTTTCAACGAGGTGAGAGTCTCCCAGAAGGCATGAAGCTTGTTGTCTTCAACGAGGACAGGTTTAATTGTTTAGTGAATTTGTCCTCCACGTTAACGTCAACTCCTATCTTCATGCTTGAGGTGGTTTGATGTTTTAACTAATTCATATAGTTGCACATATCCAAGTATATGGTTGTCTCCATGCATTTTTGTTTTGGTTCTTGTGGTTGAAGCAGTATCCTCATGCTTTGCTTTGATGGTGTTTTCCAGATCAAATCAGTTCGTCTAGCCACGCTAAATCGGGCCAGATTTGGAGTAGTAGTTCAATCGTTCCTTGAAACTGGTAAATCTTTCTTCCGTTCTGTTTTTCTCAGTTTTTAATACCTGAGACAGTTGTGAAGCAAAGGTAAGAGTTTTTCTATGGATTTCAAATAGTACGTTCTAGTTCATTAGAATCCTCATCTAAGCAGCATATTTTATTTTTGGGCGCTTCAGGGCAAGTACCTTCGATTGAAGATGCGAATCGAAGGGAGAGCGTTATAACACTTCCTTGGCAGGAAAAGCCTCTGGAGCTTGGTAAATATTTTGCAACTTAAACCTTTCCCTGCAAAGTTTGACGAGCTCAATGATGGTGGATTAATATTGACCACTATTTCTGCCATGTGTGAATACTAGTAGTTTATTTTATTTTTTATTTTTAGATCAGTGTCTTGACGGCAACTGTGTCTGCAGGCTTGAATTATATTTTACATCTTTATTTGCTTTGACGCTACGCTTCTCACCATGCAACTTTTACAGGTTCCCGAGTTGGACAAGCGTTCTCCAACCCAAGAGAGTTCATAAGAACACAAGAGCAATTTCAGAAAGAAAACTACCTCGTAACATACAGACCAAACAAAAAACGTGCATATGTTGTGATCAAGGAATCTGCCTCCTCTGACGACGTTGTTCGAGCTACATTCCAGGTCAAATATATCTCCCTGACCACGCGCTTCGTTTGATTCCATGTTTCTTTGTTGATGTATAGTCACCCCTCATACAAAACTATTTTTTCCAGATTGTTTTGGCCTAGGCTGGAGGCTTTTTGATGTCAGGAGCCAATTTAGCTTAATTTCGGTTGCGGCGTTATGCAAGATGCATGCCTCCTTTGTCTGAGATTTAATGGGTTTGTTCTCGATTGTCTTGCAGGCACATGTCATGCTGCATATGTTACGGGGATTAGAGGGCACAATTACGAACAGCAATGTAGAGGATGCTGTGGCAGAGAGCACCAAGCGCACTTATGATTTATACGATTCCTTCAAAGAAGAGGCAAAGTCTAAGGTAAAAGGCTGTTCGCACCTGACGCTCGTTTATTCATTTCGTGCATAATCAAAACTATGAACGATGGGTTGCTCATCGTGTTGGTTGTGTCCATGGCGTTCAACCTTTCTAAGCTTTTTTTGCACTTGCAGGGTTGGATGATGGGAGAAACTTTGCTTAATCCTGGAGATTCAAGGGTTTGTGATTAACAATTTTGTAGTCCAGCATATTTTATCTGACCAATTTAAAGCTTTTCCTAATAAACTTGAGATTGTAACTAGTATATGCCAATTTTGCTAGTTTGTAACGCTAATTTCTTCATGTACTGGTAGAGTTATCATTTGATTTAGTTGAGCAATCCACAGTTTCAAATACATGTTACAAAGTAGAGGTACAAACAAGATGTATGGGAGTGGACAGATATATACTCTGTAAGGTTGTACACACCCACCTTGCTATTGAGGTTTAATATATTATGGTATATTCATTCGACAAATTCATGGACTTGACTTGATGTATGTAATCTGCATGACAATTGTGCTGATTATTCACATGAGAATTTATATCAACTGTTGTGTGGGAAGGCATGACATGATCAAAGGGACGCGAACTGATGTTACACTGTTCATGAACGAAGGATTGTACAATGAAACCTGTTAACAGCAGACCAGGGAGAACATTAAGTTGCCACCCCATGCATTGCTACATCCGATTTTTGCGAAAATTGCGCATATATTATTCCACAATACCTTGTGCGCATTGTGCACCACTTGAACTCATAGTCATCATCCTGCACACATCTTCCATGTCATACACATCTCCAGCGCATGATGTTGTTAATAATGGTCGTAAGCCACTATAGTTGTGACAGGAGACTCGGTGCTTATTTCTTGCCTCACATTATTGAGAGAAGCTGCTCAATCAAAAATTACTTGATACAGGGACTGCATATAATAACCATATAGCCCACATCAGGTGTACTGTAAGTGACGGCACAGAATCAATTCAAGCAGCTAAACAATCCTGACAAAAGAGCGACAATAATGCATAGATAGAGAACCCCGAACAACAGCCAGAACAAGGATGGGCGCAGTTCAGTTATGAGCAGGGTTAAACCCAAGTTAAATTTAAGATATTCAGAACAGCGAGATCGCGAAAAAGTGAGTGAGAGGAACCTGCAATGCTCCCTTGGAGATGATGTCATCACAGAGCCTGTTAGAATTTCGCACAAGGTTGCTGAGTGCACCAGCAGCATTTGATTTAGTCTTATCTTCCTCATCCTCTAGCAATATAGTCAGGTGTGGAATACAACGTTGCAGTTGATCATATAGTCTATCATCATGGTAAGCAGCATTTCCAACCTGTACATAGGGCAACCGCAACGGTTGGGTTCCAGAACTGCTTCATAGAAGTAGAGCACGCGAATCATAACTTCTATTATTGCCTTCACAAAACAATTGGCTTATTTCTTGGAACGAGGACATATAGATAAACATAATCATGTTCTTTCATAGCGAAGAAATTTATTTATTACTTGAATGGGGGAAAATGAGGACACGTATCGCAAAGCAAGCAAACTTCCGCGTATACCTATCCGGATCCACACATCGGTCAATGAGAATAATGACAATGTTATGCTTAACCTGTCCAGACAATATACATCAAAAGTTCATTCAAAGAGAATTCTTTATTAGCACAGGTGTAAACCAAATTCCACAAGAATAATAAAAATAAAAGTACACAAAACCAAACTTTTACAAAGTAACAAATTTAAGACAAAAACCATTCGAGACTATGTGTGGCATGATGAGACCAGAAAGACATACCAGAGCATCGTAAAAATAGGGCGTATGTCGACACATGTTTCCCAAGGCACTGCAAGCCTTGGAACGAATACCAGGATCCGTGTGGTGAGGACAAGCTTTCAAAGCATCCCATATATTGGCCTCTCCAATAGACTCATAAAAATCCTGTGCAATATGCATAACCCCTGGTTAGTTCAAGTATTAAATAGACAGAATGTAAATCCCATAACGAATCTCATTATGCACACCAATAGTACAATACTGTGACAATTGTCCTCAGAAAAAGAACACATTGCATTAATGTTCTTAATTGGAACAACTACTGTAGTGTTGATCAGAGCATGAGCTAACCATACCTCTAATGAGTTTCAATGCGGCATGAAAGTCAATGAGAAACAAAAAACAAATTTGCACAGGAAAATTTGAACAGGAAAATTTGAACAGGAAAATTTGAACATTGGTTTTTAAAGCGCGCAAGGTGAGCTCACATAGCAGCCATGTAAAAACAATCAGCTGTCAACATTTCACCAAAGAGATGTTACCTTGTTCATGCGAGAGAGATTAGATAAGGTCATAAGCACATCCCGCACAACCTCTTCAGGAGAGGCGAGGTTCGAGAGTTTGACCATTAGCGGACCACCAAGGAAGCCTTCTGAAACAACTTGTCCCGCCAAAACCCTAGAACTTTGCACCATTTGGGCAATGAGCCCAACTGGCCTGCCTAAATCATTCGTATGCATCAACTCCAGGCATCTTACTAGAGGAGCAGCAGCATGTACCTATACATACAGGTAGAGGAATTATCACAAAACTAGTGGGTCTAACTAGACTAGAAAGAGCAAGCATGACATGAAAATGCTTGATGCACGCGTTCGGCATAAATTTTACCCATCTAATAAATTTTTTAAAGAAAACTGAAAAAAAACAAAACAATACAAAACAAAACTGCTAGTAGATATTAGTGCCAAAGCAGTATCAAGAGCAAGGGGTAGCGCTCATCATTAAATTTAGTCTAACCAGAGAAATATGGAATATTCTTCTCGAAAATACTCAGTCATAACAATCAATAAAAACACATCTGAAACTCATGATATTACAGAGGAAATCCCAAGAAAACAGTCAATGCGACGTAGTGATAATGTACTGCCCGTAACCATCAGCTCAAGGACTGGTTACCTCTTGCAGCAGCTGCCAATAATTAGGCATGTTTGCTGCCATAGCCCTAGCCAACTCCGTTTCGGAGTCCAACGCCGTTCTCCCATCAGGTACAGGAGTAGCTGCAGTACTAGAAACTGCGCCAGGAATACTCTGCGCTTGCACAAAAAGAAATTCTAGAACTTCAACAATCTCACGTACCAAAGCCCGCAATCCATCACGACCATCACAATTTCCCTCCCATAGCTGTAAATGTGAAAGATGAACTCGATCCATTAAGTTTAGCAGAGTCAGTATAAGTACACGGCGAAATAAGACTTCACGATAGCCTCCTCCTCTAAGAGTGTACGCTAAGGCTGAGATTGCCCAGGTGACAGCCCTACAATATCATCTCCCAAGCCATTAGGCTCATCACAATCATCCCCTTGTTGGGAGCCACCAGCCAGTTAAGTCACCCAGATGGGGGGGAAACCCAGGGCCCAATTTTGTTCGGAAACCACCCCCCCCCCCCCCCCCAACGAAGACGTGCCTCAAGAAGTCCTACGCACCCATTTCGGGTACCGGGATAACTTGTGAGGATACCAAAATTACTATGCCCATATTGGTTTGGAAGAGCGTTTGAGATTTTAAAAACTCGATTGAAGAAGTAACAATGTGTTCAATATACTGTAAAGTTGCACTTTCTCAGCATAGTCCAGAGCTGCGTACACAAGGAATTAATAACTAGAAATACTCGGAATTGAATTTGATCACGCTAAATAGATAAAAACAGCGTAAACTTGTGGTTAGAGAGACACCTTAACAATATGTCTTATAAGTGTGTACACTGAGTTTGTGTAGAAAAGTGGTTGACCTACATAAAGCTCATACCTATTTCAGATACCCGTACAACCGCCAGACAGTTACTCAGCTGTCTAATACATAAAAATAACTCATTCTAAACAACTAAACTACACAAGAATAAGTGCACCCCAACTATAAACAAATATGTGAAGTTACATGATCTGCAAAAACATGGAAGCAGATATATATAAGTATATAATGTGTCTGGGATGAAGAGTAAGAACAGACTTTTGACCACCACAAACATATAGTACACTAAAAAACTTACAGAATGACACCAAAAGACCAAAGATCAGATATGTGGTTGTAGGAATGCTCTTGAACTAGCTCAGGAGCCATGTAGAGGGGTGTCCTTGAATATGCAAACCATTCACATAATAAGCTAAAGGAGGTACATTGAAGTTTTAATGTTAAAGGGACTCAAGTCAACTTACACTTAAAGGTGCCAAAAAGCAGGCAATAATTCAGAAGAAGGAAGAAATCATTCGGAGGAAGCAAAAGATTTGTTACGAACAATAATCATTCTGATACACTTATACACTGAAATATATACCTTTGATAGACCGCAAAACCGTAGTGTTGCAAGACATTGCCCTTGCGAAACCAAAGCCGCATAGCTGAAAAGGCAAGAGATTAAATATTTGCATAAAAAATTTAGGGTGTACTGTGAGACAGAAGGTCAAAAGATGTAAATTTTTTTTCTACTGAAAAGACACTCACCAATTCAATGGGGTATTTTTAAAACATGTCGAAACAGTACAAAACCTGTGTTTCACTTGTAAATGTTGCCACAACGGGTGCGAATATTTTGACAGCCAAATCCCAGACACGTTTGAACAACCGGAAAGGTTCAGTAACAGCACTTGCTGGAAAGCAGAACCAATCCACATGAATGATTGTAAATATCTACCTTCACTATCCTAGCACCAATCAAAATATTCTGCGGCTTCATACCCCTGTGAATGATACGATGAGAGTGAAGATAATGTAGCGCTTTAACCTGCAGCTCACAAGACCAGGAACTCTAAGATTCTAGCTATAGAAGGATATGTCTCATGTTACGGAATCGAGCTCAAAATACACCTTCACATGTACAAGGACCAGAGTTTGAGAAGACAAATTAAAGCTCACCAGTTGTTTTGCTGTAGCTTGCACTTGAGCTTCTGGAAGGTACTTGTCATCTTCCAGGAGCTCAGACAGTTCACCCTATTCTCCACCCATCACAATAGATCCAATATCTCCAAACTGCCCAATCACGTTCTTTTCACATTCGTACAATCACGTCACAGTAGAATAAAATCAAACAGACTAGCTCGGCAACCCTCTACTCTAATCTCAAACATGCACATAGAATGCCATCAAAAACTCGTTGAGCCCAAATTAACCAGTTGCCTCCTATTTTAATGTACCTTCGGCTATGCCTCTGGTATCAAAGGGCCAGCCGGGGCCTTCTTCGGAATTAAATTTCAAGATTATCGTAAAGGGAATATATTATGATCAAAACAAGCAGTAGGAGAAGAGCATAGCTGAGCAATCTCGGTCACTACACAAAACTCCTGGTCACTTTCAAAAGCATCGAGCATTTCTATGATATTCTCATGCTTAAGTTGCTGCAATATTTGGAAAGACATGGCACTTAACAAATTGACAAATGTTTCAAGCCCCTCCATGTGAATATTCACAAACTCATGAAAACAATATGATTTCATGGTCGTGAGCACATGAAAACCAAAAAAATAGACAAAGCCTACATTAACCAAGGACAAGGAAGTAGAAGGCAAAAACACAAACTTACAAGTGTAAGATTGATCAATTCTCGTTAGAGACCATAAAAATATACCTCAATCTCCTGTCTAAGGTTGTCGATGTCCTTGTCACTCTTGCCATGCTTCACAATGAACTTCATTGCAACAGTCTGTAAGCAACGCAAAGCAATCGCAGCACATTGGATAATGTGAATTTTGGAGCAAAATCTCGATGCAAAGGACCATCTGCATGAAGCACAGATGACCGACAAACGGGAGGTGCTATAGTCGCATGATGCAAAAGGTAAAAGGAATAAAACCTGGTCCGTGTATTTTCTCCGACCTTTGTAGACTTTCCCAAATGAACCCTCTCCCACAAATTCTATTACATGATAATTTTCCACACCCATCCTGTAAGTAAATAGGGCAAATTGGGTGATGCTGGTGAAATGACGGAGCCGATGATAACCTCAATAAGAATTCTAAAAACGTTTAAGTGAAGTGAATGGCTGCGGTCAATGAAGACGCATGCTCAAATTTTATTTTATTTTTAAAGAAAAGGCACAGTTGATCATTCTTAACATGTTAAATTAAATATTCAAATTAAATAAAAAGGCTCTTGGTTGATCTCACAACTATGTTCCACCCAAGTAACAATGCAGGTGGCCACCTACCAGAAGTTGCACAGTTGTCCGCTCGCAGAGACAAATTATCCACTCATCCTCTCCGTCGTTGTCATAAACACCCGGCTGCCTTAAAGTATACATACACTTGACGTCCTAAAGCGCAGATGCATTCTGAACGGATCGAAGCCAATATGCTCTGGTTGTGCGTGGGAATGTAATATGTAGTAGAGGAGAATGGACTTGTTGCAATAATATCCTATGAAAAGAACATTAACAGAGAACAGGTAAGTCTGTTACTGCAACTTTCCATATTTACACTCAATTTCATAAACTTGAGTCTACTAGATTACTACAATCAAAAAGCAAGTACCTCTTGACTCCCAGTAACAACTCCAATATAGCCAAGACGTATTGGTATGACATTTCCGAGCAGGAAATTTCGGGCGTCTGTTCCTCTGTCAATTATATCCAACTGCACATTCCAAGTACTCAATGAAACACTTAAACACACCCTACAATAACATGAATGTATTTATTTTCAATAAGAAGACGAATACGTTTGGTTCGAGATCCTGTGAATGAGAATCGCATTGTTAGTTACATAGCTCCTCCGCCACCACTACATATTACGTTCCCAAATTTACAATGATCATGCATTCTTAGCCAGCAACGCATCAATTCATTCGACGCGCACAAAGATACTTGAGGATAGCGTCACGGAAACGCACCTAATTTCCAGAACTGCAGTCCGCCACACCAATTTTCATCACGAGCATAACAGTGGCATGTCAATTCAAATCCTCTACCAAATCACGAATCCTAACGAGTCCAATCACTGCACAATTTCAACTACCTGAATCAAGTAGGAAAGGATCAGCGACACGGTGCAATTAAGCTCAATATCCGGCCACCTCCTGCACACTACTCTCTCCGCCGCAGCATTGAAAGTTCTCGCGCATCTCGCCCTACGTTGGCGAATTGTCCACACTTCCCTAAACCTCCCTCTCACTCCTCTTTGTCGCAGCCATACTCTTGCTGCTGCTGCTGCTACTGTTTTCCTAGAATACGAGACAGCTACTGAAGAAGCAATGGCGATGGTGGCAGTGAGCAAACTCCGCAGCTCTCCCGTTGGCCTTGGTGTCGGAATGGTGGGGGGGGGGGGCTCACAGTTTAAATGCCAGTTACGGCGGGAAGTCTGCGCTGGCGTGGACCCACGTCGCTTTCGTTGGTACTGGTTGTGTAGGTTAGGATTTGAGTCAACAGCCAGTTTTCCGGTAACGGGCTATTCTAAATTCAAATATTGACCGGAAGGTCCAGTCACATCTTGAGTCGTGAAATACTAGGGATTTTGTATTGGAATAATATGGAAAATTGTAACATAATTATTCGAACTTTAATTAGAATGAAATGATTATTCTTGAAATTATAAGTACATTTGCACATAAAGACTATATCATTTGTTAATAATAAAAAATTGAATTGGTTAAATTTTTATTTTATTATTTTTATCTATAAATTGTTTTTTTAATTATAATCAAAAATTCATTTTTTATTAAAAAATAAAAAAAATCTAAAATTATTAATATAATACTTGATATATATTTATACCATTTATAACTTATAATAATCATTTTTGTAAACAACTAATTCAAAGATTAATTATCTTACAATCAAAGAAACTTAAGTATATATTGTAAAGAAGTATAGTATAATACAATCTATTTTCATATACTTTAATTAAAAAATTATTATTATTATTATTATTATTTAACTTTAAACATAAGTTTATTTTGTTATTTTAATAATAATAATATTTCTAGAAATGCATCACTTAAATATTTTTTTAGATTTAGATGACTAATTATTTCTAGAACAAAATTGTATTTATTAGAAAATGAATAATTTATTTGTCTAACATATTCAAGTCATTTTAATATAGGGCATTTTATCAAAAGATAATACATTAACTTACATAATTCTCCTTTTAATATAAGACGTGAAGGATCATGTCAAGGACATGAATTAAAAGATGATGCATAAACTAATGAAATTTGTGTCAAAGAAAGAGTGAAAAAATAGAAATAAGGAAGTATATATATTAAAAAGAAACTGGAATGGCTTATTGCCAAAAGACAAGAAAACTTGAGACTCTTAAAACTAGATTAGAAGCAAGAAAGGAGTTAACAAGAGTAAAGAAGGCTTCACTCTTGTCTCTATATATACTATCTAAGTAAGGGCTACGTGGCAATGTTCTATAAGACCTTTAATATGTGTTGACTTTGTAGGACACATGCCTTGACTTACAAGGCAAGTTTTTCTATATGTGGGCCACATAATTAGCTTGATCTTCAAGCTAACAATATGTGTGGCAGATGGCCAACTTGTTGACTACTTTTCTAATCCAAAAAGTCAATTAAAGACACCTATAAAGTCAAAGTAGTATTTATGAAGCTTCTATAGAAGATATTATAGAATTAACTTACTTTTCCCTACCTCTAATTACTTCTACCTATTTATACAGGTAATTACTGGCTTCTATGTATATGTCCATGACATTATCCCTCCTTCTAGGGACGAGTTCTACAAGGAACGATCATCATATGTTGAAAAATCTATAATGCGACAATTTGTATTTGCCACATACTTAGATCTTTGTTCTCTTCGAAGATGGTTGATAGGGCCTCTCAACCATCGATAGTGTCCCATACTAGGGCGGGAAGATCACCCTATTATTTGATTGTTGTTAAGGCCTTCATAACTTCCTTCAAATAAAATATTTGAAACACCATTAGGAGTTGTTCCTACCTCTAATAAAATTACCGAACAGTTCGGGTCTCTTCCAAGGTCGTGATACCAAGCATATTGTATCTCGCCATTTATTCGAGGAAAAATATATCATTCATGAAGATCTTCATCTTAATTGCGTCAGCTTGAAGGTTGCGACAATTGTAACATCTCGTCTAGTAGGTCAGCAAATAAAGACTCTTCAGTCGAATCCGTTGGTTGTTGATTCTCCATCTTCTTAGCATCACAACTTCAAAGAAGCTACAAATAAGGATTGAAAGTAGAATGTTATCTTGTCTAGATCTTGTTTTTTTCATAGAAAAGATCTTTATCTTGATTTTGATGGATGTCATTGATGAAAAGCCTCCACCGCCTTTATTGCATTTATAAGATTCTTTACTAGCTCCCATGTGCATTCATTAATATCATATCCACGCCAATGGATAAGATATTCTAATTTATTTTGGCACCGCCTTGAATCTAAGACTTCTTCAACTTTGAACTCTTCATTATTGTCTACTTCTATAGGAGGAGGTAGATCTTATCTTCTTCTTGATATATCTACTATCTTGTATGGTTCAAAAAGACAGACATGAAATATCTGATGGATTTTATTGAATCTAGTAGGTGTAAATGATATGCAATTACATTGACTTTTCAAAAGTCACCATTCTTGAAATGAATCCATGATTGCAAGAAGTTTTTTGTCGTGGATTTCATACTTAATCTCAATTGTTGAAAATTTTTTGGAATGAAAAGCTGTTAAGTGAATTTTATCATCTATTCCTATTTCTGATAATATGGCATCCAAAGCAAAGTCTGATGTGTTTGTTTCCATAAAAAAAATGCCTTAAGAAAAGTTGATGCAATATAAGATTGGTACAAAAATAAAGGCTAACTTCAAAGTTTCAAAAGATGCTTCAACTTCTTTGTTCCACTCAAGTTTGTCTTTGCAAGTCAAACGTGTAAGTGGAGTTGCAACTCGAGAGAAGTCTTTAATGAAGATCTAATAATAGTTAACAAAGCCCAAAAAGCATTGGACATCTCTTACCATTTTTAAAATCTTCCAATTCATAATGGTTTGAACTTTCTTAGGATCCATCATAAGTCCATCATTTTAAATGATGTATTCTAAAAAATTGACTTGAGTAGTGTGGAATACACACTTTTCTAACCTAGCATAGAATCCCACATCTCTTAATTTTTGTAACACATGATGAACATAAAATTCATGTTCATTTATGTTCTTAAAATAGATCAAGATGTCGTCTAGATAACAGACAACAAAATCATTTGATAACTCTCGAAAAACATTATTTATTGGATGTTGAAAAGCTACTGGTGCATTTATAAGTCCAAAAGGCATGACATTGTATTCAAAATGCCCACACCTAGTTCGAAATGCAGTCTTCTTTTTATCTCCTTCTTTAATATGTACTAGATTGTATGTTCTTCATATATCTATTTTTGTGTAGATCTTAGCTTAATTCAGTTGATCAAGAAGTCCAGATATCAAGGATAAAGTGTACCTATTCTTGATGATGATCTTGTTGAGTCATCGATAATCAACACACATCTACAATGATCCATAAATGGCAGTTGTGCTCTTTCTTGAAGGTCAATTTAGCAATTATAGGGACAATGTTCTGGAAGAGTATTTTGCATTCTTCTTCTCAAATATATCTTGAAATTCTTGATATTGGCTAGAAATGCCACTTGAAGTCTTCGCATCATTAGAAATAGGTGTGACATAAATGAAATAAAGTGATCCTTCTTTTGCAGTATGCAAGAAAGCTCTTGCACCTACAAACATAGGTTTAATTGTACTAGACTTATGACTTTCTATTGGATTAATTTCACTCTTAATTAAGCTTTTAGAGAAGTCAAGGGTATGAGAAGCTTCCATAGAAGATATTATAGAATTAACTTAGTTTTACCTACTTCTACTTACTTCTACTTATTTACATAGGTAATTACTGGCTTATATGTATATGTCCGTGACAAACCATGTCTTACATTAGAAGGGCATGAATATATGAATATAAAGTCACACTTATATAAAAATACAATAATAATAAAAATAAAATAAAAAATAATTTGATTTTTTTTTGTTTATTATTTGAATCTTTTTATTGAATAAGCAAATTTTTAAAATGCAATTAGAAACTATATTTAAACAGAACAAGATGTTCAACTAGATTTGTTGTACTACAAAAAAAATCACAAATTACAAAATTAATAATATTTAAGACAATAGTTGAGGGAATTACAAAATAATAATAATAATAATAATAATAATACAATGGATCAATTTAATTAAAATTTCAAAACTAAAAAAAGCATATTTTATAGTGAAAAAAATAGCTAAAATATCATATCAATAGGATTAATCCTATTGATGTTTTAATAAATCCACAAATAAGTACAGTTCGAATTTTTGTAGAACTACCATGCATGAGTAAAAAAAAATTCAAAAGGTGTTAGTGCTTTTTGAAATGTTTTTTATTACAAAAGACACACTAAATGCATGACTAAATTTTTATTCTATGTATGTGTGTGCATGCATATACATTCACATTCTAAAACATTAATCAATTAATTAATTACCTAAAAATAGGAAGAGGGTTTAATACTTGTGCATACTAAAATAATTAACATCATTGTTTATACTTTATGTGCTTGTTGTGTAAAAAAAGTTTTTACACTTTTCCTCTACATAAATGAATCAGTCTTGTATTTCTGTCAAAGTTATTTTACCACCTATCACAGTATGTTTTTATCACCTAATGATGTAAACTTAAGATCTTACAGTAACTAGAATATATAATTTCAACATACTTGATGTCAATTTTCCTTAAATACTATTCAAAAAATTATTCTCATTGGATGCAATAACAATAATATATAGCATAACAAAATCATCTTCTTGAAGAAAAAAAATATAGACATCTTTTGCACATAGTTAAATTTTGTAACTCTATAAAAAGGAGAATGATTTGATTTTATAAAAAAAGATTGATTCGTGCATAATATAATTAATAATTTAGACACTTGGGTGTGATCTCAGAATTATTTCAATTTTCCAACATCCCAAGATTAGTCTCTTGAGAAAAAATTGCATTATTATCTCATTTTATTTCTCTGCAAATAAATCACCTTCAACCCTTACAATTGAACACAAAACAATTTTCTTGTTTAAAATGTGGTGCATTGAATGACAAATCAACATAATGGTTAACCGGTAACAACTTTGCCCTATCCGGTGAAACAACCGGCTAATCTCCTGTAGGGAATTCTAATGAAATACAAAGTAAGTGGATTTCAATGAGCTGCTCAAAAACGTGACTAGCCTGCCATTATCTGCAATACTAATTTATTTACGGATAGGGAGCCCATGGGCTTAGAAAATTTACCCGGTTACAACAGTTCTGTAACCGGTTAACTAGACTGTGAACATCCATGCCCACTGCATCTCACCACGCATATGCAAGACGACGACGACGACGACGACGGAAGCAGGGACGAGACGGGACGAAGGAAGAAGAGACGCTGGGGGGGTGGGGGTGGGAGAGCAGAATATAGTACCGAGAATTTGTGCTATTGAAATTCTCTTGTGGGATCAATCACCTGGCCGCGCAGATATACACGAACCATTCTGTCTCGTCAGTGGCAAGATTCGCCGCTACCCTCCTCTTCAAACCTCTCCTTGCATTACTTAAGCTTTGCGTCTCTGTTCCCCTTTTCTATCGGTCGCTGCATCGCTCTGTTTTTGCTGTATTTTGCCTCACAACTTTTACTTCACTGTTTTTTCGTAGGGTTTTGCGGTGTGTTGTTGTTGTTGTTGTTGTTGTTGTTGTTTTTTGTTTTTTGTTTTTTTTTTTTTTTGCCATGGCGACTGCTAGTATGTCGTGTGCGATAGCTGCCGGCGCCTCCGCGGGGTTGCAGAGGAGCACGGAGCTCCCTCAGCTGCGCGGGGCGGAAGTCAGCCTCTGCAGTGCCAAGAGGCGCGGCAGGGGGAGCTTGGCTGTGAGGAAGGCTGTTGCTGTGGCGAGTACGACGATTGGCAATGGCCAGGGGCTCACTTACAAGGATGCCGGGGTGGACATTGACGCGGGCACGGAGCTCGTGCGGCGAATTGCGAAGATGACGCCGGGAATTGGCGGGTTTGGAGGGTTGTATCCCTTTGGGGATTCGTATTTGGTGGCGGGCACTGATGGTGTTGGGACCAAGCTGAAGCTGGCGTTTGACATGGACAAGCACGACACGATCGGGATCGACCTGGTGGCGATGAGCGTGAATGATATTATCACAAGCGGTGCTAAGCCTATGTTCTTTTTGGATTACTTTGCGACCAGTCATTTGGACGTGGACCAAGCGGAGCAAGTGATCAAAGGAATTGTGGACGGGTGCAAGCAGTCGGACTGCGCGCTGCTGGGTGGAGAGACAGCTGAAATGCCCGGGTTTTATGCGCCCGGAGAGTATGACTTAAGTGGATTTGCAGTAGGGAGTGTGAAAAAAGATGCGCTGATCGATGGAAAGAGTATTGCTCCTGGTGATGTTCTACTTGGCTTACCTTCAAGTGGAGTGCACTCTAACGGGTTCTCGCTTGTGCGTAAAGTGCTGGCCAAGTCTGGGGCATCTCTTCATGACGAATTGCCTGGTGCGGGAAAGTCCATCGGGGAGGCATTGCTTGCGCCCACAACCATCTACGTCAAGCAGGTGACCAGCGAAATTCTGTCTATTTCGTTCATGTTACCGTGTCCCTGTATCTTTTGGTTTGTCGTCGCATTCCGAGAGTATGTCAGAGCCGTTTCCACAACAATTAGCTTAGCTTTTCATGTTGTTTTGCCTTAGAGGTTGCAGCTGAGTAGCTGAAGTCATGTTCTCTTCCGGTCGCTTTCCTCGCATTCATGGCCTTGCATACTGCGTGGAAATTCTCACTCCCCTTCTGGTGATACAAATAGATGTATTACGGGCAATATTCCACTGTGCATCATCTAGTCATCTTCCCTTACTTATTCTGCTAGCCTTAGAAACTATTTCGGCATTTATCCATTTATTTGTTGGCAGCTGGTTCTTTCGAAATGCATGGTTTTATTTATTTATTTATTTATTTATTTATTTGTCTGATGCCTCGTGTGTTCCATTCACAGGTGTTGGATCTTGTGGCGAAAGGAGGCATTAAGGGAATTGCGCATATCACCGGTGGCGGTTTCACTGACAATATCCCTCGCGTCTTCCCAGACGGTCTGGGTGTGGAGATCGACGTAAATTCGTGGGAAGTGCCTCCTATCTTCAAGTGGTTGCAAGAGCAGGGTGGCGTGGACGATGCTGAAATGCGGCGAACATTCAACATGGGCATTGGTATGGTATTGATAGTTCGCAAGGATGCAGCAGAGAGGATCGTGTCCGAAGAAAGCTCGTACGGCAAGGTGTATCGCTTGGGTCACATCGTTGAGGGCAATGGTGTCATCTTCAACTAGGACCGAGGAAACCATCAACATCACGTTCAATCAAGGTTTGGCATCTACTTGTGATATATTTATTTACTTTATACGCAGACACAACATCAGATGACTTTAGAATGATTATTTAGCGATTCGGTAATTATAAACTGAAAGCAACTATTTTTAGGGATATGTTGATCATGATGTTTACTTATTTGTTGCCTTCTTACGTTGCAATTGCAGTGTGGGGCTAAATTTTAGAAGGTAGACCCATCACATCTCTGTGAGATCGTGGTAAATTCTATGCTGCTTTTTATGGGGATGTGAAGGCTTTGCAACGACCTGTTGGATACATTCATCGTCCACAATGAGGAGAGGCTTCTGGTGCTCGCTGTTGCCCACAATTTTGGATAGAAATTGGTCTACTATGATGATTGCTCGCCCTCCTGGTTTTAGTACATGCAAATTGTGGTCAACGCAGTGCAGTCGGGGTTGACGGGATTAGTGGGTAGAGGACAACCTGAGTAGAAATATCCACCCAACCCAAGTGGTTTGTTTTTAATGTTGCAAGCCAGTTGAAATACATCTTTCCAACGTATGAGCAAGAGAATTATGACGCCAGCGTAATCTGGCTATCTATTGTCACTATACAGGAGTTGCAGATCTTCAATGTGGTTGAGATGTTGAGAAACGCGCAGTAGTTTACAGTTTCCACTCCTAACGATGCTGCTTCGGTAATTGAATTCTGTTGCTCCAGGTATCCCACCGCCTGCACATGCTATTTATCTCTCGCGTGACCGTCCCAGTTCAACAGACTGGCGTCACTGTCCTAATCCAACTGTCGGGTTTATAAAACTACAAACGCAAATGATAATCTACACAGTGAGCGCAGTGTACATGATTTTACATCGGATTACAGCTGCATTCATCTCTAGATTGACTGGTGACGTCATCAATTATCCCACTGATCCTGCCGGCTCAAGAAATCCCACTTCTTCAGTGATGCGCCTCTAAAAATCTCTGAAAATCGTGACAAGCATTGCGTCCGTTTAGCGTAATGCCCTTGCGTGTCTCTGCTGATTGCCGACGTCGAAATCTTGGAGGTATCCACGGCCCAGGCAGGGTGCACGTACTCTACCGCACGCTCTGACGTCTGGTTCGCAAGAATGAAATTCATGAGGATATCCTCGCAGTTGAACAGCTCGTCAACCACAGCGCGCCCCTTGGCCGCGCGCTCGTTCCAATACTTGGAAAACGCGAATCCACTATCCATAAACGCGGCGCTCGTGAGGATCATGTTGTACCCCGACTGAGAGCGCGCGTATCGCTCGTTGCGGTATTGCAGAGGATTGCCTTCAATGAGACGAGGACAATATCCCACCATTCGATCAGGATTCTCCCTCCACGCCCTGAATCCCCGCTCAATATCATCGCAGGTCATCATGATATCATCGTCAAGCTCCAGAACAGCCTTCGTCGCGATCAAAGGGTCTGGTTTGAAGCGATTGTTGAGCGAATTTTCGGGCTCCACACGGATTCGAATCGGGACGGCTGAATCGAAATCCAACACTGGGTCCGGGGGAATGCCTTTGTTCCACACCACGACGATCTCACGAACCGATGCGCAGCGGGAGTAATGTTTAACATACAGCTGCAGGTTCCAGAGACGCGCGTCATATGTCATGGCGATCATCGTGAACTGAGAGTAGTGGCCATCAACGGGGTAAGGATCTTGGGCGCCGTTGCGACCAAAGAAAGAGTTCACTACTACGCAAACAGCGCAGACACTGAGAACTAAGCATACGAGGCCAGATACATACTGCAGGTAGGAGTTCGAGGGGAGTTTCTTGCGCAGGGAGGAGCCGGTTCTGTTCAAACGGCTCACTGCTCTGTAGAGACGGGTTGTCAATTGGGGGCGTACCACACAAGGCAGCAACGTCTCGATTGATCGCTTGCTCCCATTCAGCATGATCGAGAGAGGCGGCAAGAAACAACGACCATAGCCTGTCACTAAGCCCACTATAACGCTCATCGACAGGAGAAGCAAAAGAGCAGCTCCTCCGAGGGCATATTGCATCGACAAATACCCCGAGGGAACCCGATCTCCGTCCACAACCGCAATCCACTCACCCGAAGGCAGCTGGTGCAGGTTCATATGGTGAGATCGCTTGCCGTTCCAGGCATGGCGACCTTTCTTCGACTGCTCCAAATTGAGCGACACCTCAACCTCGCGGTAGCTGTTCTTCGTCAATGTGACCACATGGAAGACGCGCAACCGGCGCCCATAAGTCCCTCCACAGTCCTGCCCGAGACGGTATAGCTTGCCGTCGTGCACAAACGGACCCCCGCCGTTTCTGGCTCCCTCACTGCTCGGCCCATTCTTAATGGGATTCTTGGTATGTTCTTTCCAAGGGCCAAGAGGGGACGGCGCCACCCATATCTCCAATTGGCCATTCTTGCGGCTATTGAAGCGATTGAAATTGGAGGCAAACAGCCAGTAGTGTCCACTGTATTTCACCATGGACGCGTCCACCAAAGGCTGGTGGATCAAAGTCTTGTGGAAGTCCCACTGCAGAGGAAATCCCGTAGCCTTGTAGAGACGAAGATCCCCATTTCTGCTGCCTTCAGGCATCATATATAACTGTACCACACAAAAAACGAGACATTAGAGGAACAAACAGTGCAGAAGGTAACGAACCAACCGAGCCACGTCCGATCGAAGCGATAGAATATACGAAGACGAATGCAAGAAGATCACCGAATATCACCTCTCCTTCATACTCGAAGACGTATGGATAGGACAAATGCCATTCTTCGTCGAGAGCGATGCCCAAATACCTCCAAGTCAACCCTTCGTCTGAGCTTTCGGCCACACCAATATCTCCTTGCATTGTGATACTGTTCTTTGTTTCGAAGAACAAGTACATTTTAGAGCCCTGGTTTAGATGACGATAGGGAGTATGAACCATTAGAATCTATGTCAATTCAGATGCTCAAACAGTTGAAGCTTCAAGGGGAAAGCTATTTATCTGTTAGGATGATCCAACACGTCCAAGATTAGAGCAATCGGAGAAGGTGAAGGGAGGTCACCTTAATGAACATAAATGGATCTGCAACAAAATTACTGGGACGCGTCATGCTCGTCACTGACGCGCATGTGAATATTGGGTTGGCAATAGGCCATGCCGATGTTTTGTTGACCCATTTGTTTGTCTGCAGATGCATCATGCCGATTGGTATCAGAGCACTACGTTCCGAATCAATGTAGCTTTTAATTTCCAAACTTCTCAATCTCGACTTTGCATTACGGGAAAGTACCCACTACAGCAGCAAGTCAAGTCATCACCGACACTGAATAAATGACATAATGTTGAAATTGCAGGTAACACTCAATCTCCCGAAATTGAAGGTTCATTTGGTAAAAGTTCTGATAGGTTGACTTGGACAGGAAAACGAGAGCATTTCAGAAATAAAATTAAAAAAAGAAAATTGAAGCGGAGGAGAGAGGGATTGAAGAAAGTGCTGACAGCTTCAAGTGGCTGCAGAGAGAAAGGGGAGCTCCCACGATATAATCCGATGCTCCATGAGCCTTCGTTATCTGGTTGGCAGCCAGCGATTACTGCACCACTAAGGCTTTTGTAAGGGGAGAACACCAACCATGAAAAGAGAACGCCTACAAACGAGAAGAAGAGGATTGACAGAAAGTAATATAAGTAGGTTGATGAGAGGCCACAGGCACGGTGGGGGAGCTTGTCGGGGCACATGGTGCACATGCCATAGCTGGGCCATCGGTATTTGCTTTTCATCGTATCGAACCAGTCGAGTCCTGCTCCCGCTCGTGGACTTCCAGTGGCCTTCATTGTTACAATCTAGTTTCACCGCCAATAAATTATTCCTCCAAATCGTTCTGCACGATATGGTTCTCAGCGCCCAAGTAGCATCATCTTGGATATCCAATACCGCCAGTGGACAAAGTTCCTCTGTTGTATGAAAAGTCACCTGAGTTCCAAAGACAGCCGATGAAATGCACGATTCTCGGCAGCAGTCCAGATGAAACCCTGTTCTTTGGGGCACTCCAGCAGCTAAACTTAGACAGACATGCTGAAAGACCTGTTATCGCGAGGTCTACTCAAGGTCGTAGCAACTTGGCGGTAATCTGTGGGGAAATGGGAGCTGAAGCGGGTCATGAGGGTATCGGCTCCAGGATTCTTCCTGAAGCACACGTTGTGAGTGAGCGTTGTGACACAGGATACAACACGCGGGTTACGAGAACGTTGCTTCAGATTGTCGGCGTTTATTATTGCTCTCAACGAGGTTGGTGTCTACCCTGTTCGAACTAAATCCTTAAAAACCTCTCAAAGAAACGTCTCTCCTCTCGTCCTGCTAAGAGATGAAAAATGGGTGTGATCTCGACACAAGAAGCACTTTGTTCCTGCACGTAAAAATACATCACACACTTCAAAATGCCAATAGTTCTCAACTTCATTTTCGCCGACAGTAGCTGCCAGTTTCCGAATAGTAACTGCTAGAGCCAAAAAACCCTCATGATTTTCGACGCCAGAGAAATCACTAGAACTGTGGCATCCGCCAAGTTGCAACCCAGAAATGTAGATCTCTGACATGCTTTAGAAGCAACCTCGGAAGATTGCAGCAGCAACAAAGCACCTCCCTCCAAGACAATAAAGTAAAGAAAAAACTTAATAATCAGTTGATAAACACAGCTCCATTATCAGAAGTCGAGGTGCACTAGCAGAGTGTCCCAGCAAACGTCACACGCTTGATCCCTCGCTCTTTTTCTCTTGGTTACACACTTCTGCAGGGCTCCGTTACCTTGATACCTGGCAGAGAGACTTGAGGGGCAAGCCAGGCGGCAAATCGTCTACGAGATGGAGGAACCACCTCCAAGAACTAGCCCACAACTCCTTCTCCAGGTCCTCTCTCCCAACTGCCTCGCAGGGTCGACCCCAGTCGGCCCGAAGCTTCCGACTTCCACACAACACGACCTTCGCCAGTACTTCGAGAGGTGGATCCTGGTAACAGTTAAACTAACAAACTCACAATCTCCTCTTGTTTACGCATGAACTGACGACAACTTGCTGGCGGATCGAGACTTTAGCATGTATACAAGTTCTCTCCACATACACCGTCGGCGGAGCTCGACTCGACTCCCCTCTCCTCTATTAACAGCACCCGCCACTGGAGGCAAAAAACGGACCCCAAAGGACTGCATCCACATCGATGCTGCTCGAGAAATTTCGGCGGCTGGGGTCGACATCTCCACAAACAGACAAAACAATCCAAATGTGGGAAAGAAAGAATGATGGGAGGATCATCCGCCCCTCCCGCTGGTTCTGGTAGCGAATCCTACGCAGCTTTTGAGCTGCTACAAATGTCCCAGCAGCGGGGCGTGCCGGGTCTGAGCGCGAGAGAGAGAGATCTCCACTGCTGGCCAGGCCCCACTAGGCACCTCAATATTACGTACAGCTGGCGCAATTTCCCGTTTTGATTGAATTCACAACAGGCTTGGAACATCTAACCAGTCAGTCCAGCTTGAGTGAGTCGCCGAGGGGTCGTGTTGACCGGATCCCGTTGCGTGGCTAACCGAGTTCACGCTCCATGAGCGCGAGCGAGCTAGGCTTCGCAACAGAGGCCATCATCAGCAACTCTCTCCACCACAACGGAAAATCCCCTTCGAGAGTGACGGTCCTATCACCGTTCCATCGGTGTGAACGCGGCCCCTCCTCCTGTTTCGCCTTCAACGCTCACACCACCCACACCATAAAGAGACCGAAAGGGATCTATTACCGTCTCCGCGGTGTCAACGGGGACTCCAGGGGTGTAGGTGTTCTGGTGGGATCCACTTTTAGAAAAAAGGATCCAACCTTCGTTTTTTTTTCGCTGTGGTTTCATTGGAACTTTAAAAGTGAAGTGGTCGTTCGTTAAAAGGAGTAAGAGTTTCTCTTGGGATTTGTGTACTCTTATAAGGTTTGGATTGGATAATGTATCATTTAAAAGTGCACTAGTGTCTGGTGCAAACAATTGAATGGGGTTAGGAAGGAAGGATTGTGCAGTTTCGTTAGGATTTATATTCTTTATATTTTTATTTTCTTTGTTTTTGGTATTATGCATTAATGTGAAGAGAGAACTTTTATCATGTGGGGAGTGTGACTGAATGTTGGGCATGCCTCTGTTCATTTGTTTATTCCCTGTAGTGAATTTAACCAAATCAAAGTGTTGCTCAACTGCCAGTTGTCACATTTACAATGCAAATGTTAACAATATTGTAATTGTTTCGTGAATATCAAATAAATGATTATATCACAGTTGGAATTCAGCTACACTGTATTTTACAGTTTTAAAATACTTTTTACAAGATAAATAAATAAATCCTGGAAGAAGTATTACAAGTAGATAATAGTTTAGAAAATGCAATAAAATTAAGATAAATTATTTTAAAAAAATAAAAACTTCTTCAATCAATGAATGATCTTTGCATGATGTATACATAATTGATGACAAGAAACAAGCACAAGAATTGTGGCCAAATAACAGATCTACCTTGATAGCAAAAAACAATTATTTCTTTATTTCTTTATCATCGGGTCCATCATTTTTATTTAAAACTGATCTCTTCTCACATTGAAATTTAAATTTGATACAAACATCATTGCCAATATATATTTTATAAGCTTTGTAATAATAGAATAAAATGATGTTTTAGAATAGAGCAATTTGAAACAAATATCCATGTTCCATTACATGATAAAGAATATTTTTTTTGTAATATTTTTAAAACTTAAATTAGCACAAATATTAATGTAATATTTTCCAATAAAATATATAATCACATTCTTTAATTCGATTGATATTGTAAAAGAATAGTTGTACAGGTAGCACTTGTTTGATGTACTAATTTAAGACACCTTAATAAAACCAAGTTAAATTCACAATATTTATGCATTGTTAGAACCATGAATTGTAATTATATGTTCATAAATAAAGGATTGTGTTTAACCAAATTATATCTTATGATGTTGTTTTTAATAATTAAAAGCAATAGATTTACTAAACTATGGAATAAGCTAATAAAATATTATTCACTAGTTAGTAGATTCTTATTTTATTTCACAACTTAATTATTTCTATTTTTATAAAATTCAAAATTTATAAGTGTACAAACATCATATGTTTCTATAGTAAAATATTTAATGTAACATTGAAATAATAATAATAACAAACATACAAAAAACCATTATTTGATTTTTTAAAAGTGCATATAACTGCTACAAGTAATATCTAAAACCTTGAATCATCAAACACATTGTCATTGCATTGGTTCATGATAAATTATATTGATATGTAGAGGCTACTATTTTTTAACAGATTCATCATAGACACACAAATTGTCAATTTACAATTACCACGTTATACCATAATATACCATAATAGTCATCAAAGTTTTTAATGTTTCATTCTGTATAGAATTTTCTTACACATTAAAATGATGAATATTTTAACAAGAGTAAAAATGAACAAATTGAAAATTAGAAAGATCAAATAAAGAAGTTTATTCTTGAGTATAGCTTTATTCAAGAATACGATTGTTTAACTAACAAAACTTATTCTGTAATAATCCAACTATTATCTTCCAAATATAAATTGTTAGAATTTTATAGATATTTCTTTATTTTTTATATTTTTAAAGGAATAATATTACTTGTGAATTTTTATTGGATGCATTAAACAATGCATTAATTAATAAGAGAATATTTCTACTCTATATTGGAAGTGACAAACATATGTTGGTCAAATATATAAACTTTTTATTAAAGTAAAAAATAAAAAATAAAAAATTGAATCTCATAAAAATAAAGAAATTCAATAAAATAAAAAAACTGACACTTGAAATATCAAAAAAATTAAATAAAAAATAATACCAAAAGCAATTAAAATAACAAGTCTAAATTTTAATATTTAAATGAATAATTGTAAAATAGTAATAGAAATAATTAAACCATTAATTTTTCTATTTTTATTGAATGTATTATCTTATCAATATCAATTTATTATTATTGTTTTAAAAAAATTCTATGATATTTAATATACTTATTTGGATTTAATGTTCTTTGCCATCATAAATATTTCCAAAATATGCATTCATCAAAAATCATATTATTATACTTAAATTTTTAAAGAAATTTAAAATGTAATGTGTTTTATTTTACATGCGGATAATATTATAAATTATCATTAAACTTGTTAAATAATTTTAAAATCAAAATATGAATCCAAATATTTAATATAGAAAATAAGTTAATTCAATTAGTCATATTAAACCAAATAAACTATTGCAATATACATTGGATTTATATTTTTTTTCTTAATTGAAAGTTGAATTTTTTACAAAAAAATAAATTTGAGTAGGTGTGATGAAATAAATATTTTTTTAATAACATATGCCACAAGAATAACAATAAAAATAAAAATACTTGAAATAATCATTTGAAATAAATTGGTGGGTTTCATAAAAATAATTCAATAAATTTTTTAATAGTAGAATTTGATTCTTTATTTTCACGATTATTTTTTCTTTGATTTATTAACATGATTCTAAAACATATACTTACTAAAATATTTCATATTTTTCAAGAACAAATTTTTAATAAAAATATTTTTTTTTCTAAAATGCAGTTTAGATAATATTAAGACACCTTTGCATAACTTAAGCAGTTCTAATCTCTACATAAACTGGTTATTACTCTTAACTTTTTGATATGATAAATTGTTTTATTGTAAAAAAAGAACTTTAAGCATAAATTATTCAAGCTTTATTCATGTACTGTAAAAATATAACTAATGTATATCTCTCTCGATATATATATATATATATATATATATATATATAAATGTATATTTAGATATCTGCAAACAACATAAAAAAATTATTTTTATTTTGTAAAACAATCTTGCAAGATATACATGCATGGTCATGTTTGAAATACAACAAAACTACCACAACAAAAACTTAAAACCATCCTTTTTGTGTCATTAATTTGTTAAATTTTTTTATTTTTTCTTTTTCTTTTGTTAATCCAACATCAAAACTCTCTGTCTTTTATTTGAAACCATCGTTTAAAGCATGAATACAAATAATAATATGGCAGTGCTTCTCCACATTTGATGGAAACGTCAAGCCCGTTTAGGAAACGAGCAGAGCACATAATACATCCGAAAGGATGGATGAAGAACACTCATTCCTTTTAACGAACAGAATACGTAATTCATCCGATACGGATGGATGAACGAGGCGAAGCATGGAGGAGCCTCGATGCTGTCTGTGCCGAGCTCTACGCCGCCATCGCCACCAATTTTTAGTTGGTTTTTTTTGTGCTTCGCTGCGTCTGTTGCAGCGTCATGGTTTAGATTCATGCGCTGATTCAAGTCCGCGGGGTTTCGATTCCTGCTTCACCTTCGTTCCGGGTATCGTATACTCTTCTTTTGCCCCGTTTGTTTTGCACTTTTCTTCCCGAACATTGTCTATGTAGGGTTCCATTTCCTCACCGCATTTTCACATTCAGTCTTCATCTCATTCATTGTTGAAGCTCTTAATTACAGGTGAAAATTTACGTCGTATGATCTCTTGATTTTCTGTGGTTCGCTAAGCTCAGGAATCATGAAGTGTCTGTATCTTTGTAACTTCACTCAATCGAAGAATTAGGGTTTCGGTCATTATTTCGATTTTTGTGTTGTTGGATTTCGAAGTGCGAAAATTTGTAGTTGGTCAATCTCGAAAGATGTTTTAACGTTGACTGTTGGACTTAATACTTGGGTTGTTTTCAGCTTTAGAGGTTTTCTTTCTTTCTGGAAGCAGCCAGAATGGCTGCGAAGAGAGAAGGTGAAGAGAATGACTTGGCTTTGGTTACAAAGCGGCAACGCACTGATGAAAGAGCTATAGTACCTGTGGGAGGTTCCGCTTTGTCCTCCAATGCCAACAATCAGCTGAGTGTAACGGTTGAGGTAGGTACCATGTGATTTTCTTCTCAATACTTACTCAAAGCTCTCTCTGGGTTGCCCTAATATACGGCAAAATTGAGCAATATTATTTCTTCAATAGGTGGTTGATGCCTTTGGAAGAAGACTTTTTAAAATTTTGACGGTAAATGAATGATTATTCTACCGTTCCCGTACTCTTAGTCTTATCTAGTCATACGTATTGAACCAAGTTTATACTTAGGGCGTCATCAATCATATATTCTCAAATGAATCAGAAGGCACCTCAACTCCTCTATGGGTGACAAGAAAAATCTAGTTCATTTTTATACAACATGTGCTGCACTTACTTGCATGGGTTATGATTTTCGAACCTCACGGCGATAAGCGTTAGAGTTGAGCCTTGATTTATTTTGGCAATTTCAGGGTGTGAAAAGAACGTCCAGTCTCGACGCTCCCATAATGCTGCTTTCAGGTCATGGGGTATGTTCTCAACTTCAATTAGATCGATGAGTTGTAGTTCCCTTGGGCACCTCCTTTCATTTTCAAATCTATGCCTTTTCTGCGCCAAGTATATTGATTTCGCACACACGATCACTGCATTTATTCTCATGCAGGGTGCTGTTTATACTATGAAGTTCAACCCTCAAGGCACTGCCATAGCTTCTGGATCTCATGACAAGGATATATGTGAGTTATTTTCTCGAAATCTATAAATTTCATGGGAAATCTATGGAGGTCCTTCAAGTGCCTCCTCGCTTGTTCCTAATCCCTATTATTGTGTAATTTATGAGCATAGTATGCAGGGATATTTAGATTTCAAGTTGAGAACTTGCATTTGACATTAGTGATTGGTAATGGAGGTTGTCTTACTGAATTCTGGTTTGGTAGTTCTATGGAATGTGCAAGGTGATTGTGATAATTACATGGTATTGAAGGGGCACCGTAACGCTGTGCTGGATCTTGTTTGGACTACCGATGGTCAACACATTATCTCAGCTAGTCCAGATAAAACAGTTCGTGCATGGGACGCAGTTACAGGGAAGCAGGTGTGTTTTTTGGCTTTCATACGTTAGGAGATTCTTTCTGAAGAGATTTTATTCTTTTATTTTCTTATAAATTTATTTTAATGTTTTTCATGTATAATGATTTTTAAAAGCATTCTCAACCCATGATTTATTTTGTCTTTACTTTAGACCTCTGTGAACTCTTTTGCAGGTTAAAAAGATGGCAGAGCATTCGTCATTTGTGAACAGTTGCTGCGCTGCTAGACGGGGTCCACCACTCATTATTAGCGGCTCAGATGATGGCACTGCTAAGTTGTGGGATATGCGTCATCGTGGTTGCATCCAAACCTTTCCAGACAAGTATCAGGTTGGTGTTTCTTGGTCAGCTTATTGCTTGCGTATCGATACTTAATCCTATTTCTTTCACTTAGAAGTCGCTACGTTATGATGGAAATTGAAGTGTTGATTAGTTGGCCTTAGTTGAACAGCCCAAATATTTATCTTCATCTTAAAATGAATGTCATTCGGCCGTGGTTTTGTCGGCGTAGACTGGTGGTCAAACCGTGTTGCATGAATCATATGTCGTGAAGTGTCATCAGTGGTCTCTTGCAGTTCATGATTTATTAAACGTATGGTTGGATTAACAGGTCACAGCAGTAGCCTTCTCTGAAGGTGCAGACAAAATTTTCAGTGGAGGTATTGACAACGACATCAAGGTGTGGGACCTCCGCAAGAATGAAGTGGCCATGAAGCTACAAGGACACACTGAGACGATAACTAGCATGCAACTTAGCCCAGATGGATCTTATCTTCTTACCAACTCAATGGATTGCACGTTGAGAGTCTGGGATATGAGGCCATATGCACCTCAGGTTGGCCGTCTCTCGTTGTTCCTAGGATGGGAACAACGCATCTGCCATTTCTTGCATGCAATTTGAACTAGAACACTTTGTTTGAATCAGCTGTCTGTTCGTCGATAATTACACTTTCCATATTTCTTTTAGCTTTTGAAATACGTCCTCTTTTCAAACTAATCCCCATTCCGCTGTGGTTTCTAGATTTTTTTCTAAACTATTGACTGAAGATCTCCTCGGAGGGAGGAAACCTTTTACGGAATGTAGTGGTTCTTAACACATTGAGGTGTTATTTTTCTTCTTTTACAATTCTTAACTTTTGACTTCTATTTCTATTTATAAAAGTTCATATCAATAATAAAAAATCATGATCGCAGAATCGATGCGTCAAGATATTTACGGGACATCAGCACAATTTTGAAAAGAACCTGCTAAGATGCAATTGGTCACCAGATGGCCAAAAGGTGACATCGGGCAGTGCAGATCGAATGGTGTATATTTGGGATACTACATCGCGAAGGATTTTGTACAAGGTACGCTTTTATATGAGCCACGGAATATTTTCGCTGGTTCAATTGTTTTTACCTCTTTTGACTGTTTTGCTACTGTTATCAGTGCTGTTATTTGTCCAAATGCTCATGATTATCATTTGCTCTTAGACATGTACGTTTTATGCACCTGTTCTTAGTGTCCTGAAATGAAATCAGGAGCCTCAAGACGGTGAAGTTCTCATAGACCTTGTGGTTGTGGCGTATGTCTGCAGCTTCCAGGGCATTCTGGTTGTGTCAACGAAGCTGTGCTTCATCCAAGGGAACCTATCATCGGGTCGTGCGGTAGTGATAAGCAGATCTATATAGGAGAAATTGATCCTACTGTAAGATAGGTTGATAGGAGTTAATCATCATCACTAGTTGTTCGAATGCTAAGTGGAGACGCAGCAGCATCCAACCCTGGGCGACTGGAGCACAACACGAGAGCTTCGGACGCCGGGAAAAACGTTTTCCTCATTCCGGGGTTTTCGGCGTTTGCAACACCTACATCCCACTGGAATCTGAAACTATAAGGCGTTCCATTATCTGGATACTGAGGTTGGAGCACTCGCCCCCAATGAGATTTTATCGAGTTCCTTTCTAGGAGCAATTATCCTTCTCTGAGCACAACAGAACTAGGGAGAGTACATTCCTATGCTTGACATTGGCTTTTTAATCAAATTAGGTCCTTGGTAACTGTGTTACAATGTTATCAAGCAGGTTTGTATGTGACACTGTAGCAAGTTCCATATTACCAAATCTGCTATCTGCTGTCGCAGAGGGGAGCTTCACATCCAAGTCTCGACCAACATTGCCAGCTCATAACCCAGTTGACCTCTTTCAATTTTGTTAGCAATGTAGATGTGGAGTGGGTGTGAGACAATGTCTATCTGGAGGGTCAATATTCTTAACAAAATCTCAAATTTAACATTAGTCTGGTTTTATTTGTATTTATATTTTTTATCCAAATTCAAAATTAAAAGTCAAATCTGTTTTTGAAAAGGAACATCCATTGGTATTTAAAATTTTGTTTAGAGAATTTGTACACCCGTTGTAGTCTAAAATCTTGACATCTTTGCTGCAAATCTTTACTAGTGTACTTCATTTTCCTTTAGAGATGTCAACAAATTTTATTTTTCGTCCATGAAAACTTCATAAAACCCACTTACCCTACCTGTAGTTAAACCCAATTAGACCCCCTCTCACAACGTGGAGACCCAAACCTCGACGACGTCGTATCAATCACGGGTTCGAACCCTCCCACCGACGACGAAGACTCCACGAGTCCGCCGTTCTTCAAGCCTTCACCGACACATGCAGTGCCGTCGAAGCCATGACACACTTTGCTGCTGCAGTAATTCATCGGAGCGAAGCACCGAGTATGAGTAGCGTCAGTGGTTGACGAGGAATTTATTGCCATTGTGCAGGTGGGTTTCTCTACATTAGCTGCCATTGGGTTTCACTTGTTTAGGCGGCGAGAGCTCCCCTTTCTTAAGCTTTACCATGACTCTTTTGTGATAGTGGGCATCAAGTTGTGTGCTTGTTTTTGTTGCAAATGTCATTGTGATTCGGTGTAAGGCGGTGATTCTTACATGGATTAGGTTGTAGTGAGATTGGTGCAGGATCAGCCAAGTCATGTGAGTCAGGGTTAAAGAATTTCGGCATGCTTAGTGCTGCTCCCTCAAAGGGGAGCACGAAGAGTGTGCTGGACTAGAATGAGTTTCCGAGATATAGAGGCTGGGGGCTTGCCCTCAGGTCCCATGCTGCAAGATTCCACGCAAGCGCTCGCATCGATAGTGTTTCAGATTAATACCGCTGTCTCTTCGTTTAAGCGTCTCGTTAATTCGTTGGTCACTGATATAGACACTCCCGTTCTTCGTGAGAAGCTGCAACCTACTCCTGTTGTTGAGTTTGTTGCATGGGTGCAATTGTTATTTTGCAGTTTTGAAAATGTTGATGAATGTTGTTACGAGATTTAGAAATGTAACGGGCTAAGTGCATCATGTGCGTTTATTCCAAAGAAACAACTTGAACATCTACATTTCGGGATAATTACGAAGTTTTTTCTCTTGCAGGCACAAAACGCGGCATCATATAGTAAACTCGTGAAAGAAACAGGCTCAAAGTGGAAAGTGGCTAGTGGACATGACCACAATAGACTTGTTTATGTGAGCTTTTGTCACCTTTTGCTTCAAATCTGCTTATGACTCAAGGAGTTAAGATATTGCCATCTGCCTTACAATGAAGGTAACCACAGTTTGTATTTGCCAGGGTTGCTTGTTTGTTCTGAGCTCAGTGTTCTTCGTCGTCTTATTGATACTCATACTTGATATCAGCAACTGTTCTGATTTTGGTGGAGGAAGTAAGCGTTCATGTTGATATTTTGGGAGGTGTAGATTGTAGTGATGCAGTGCGTAAACTTCCACGTATGCCTCCTTTGAAGCACGGGCGCGACAGCTAGTGCTAGCTATCGCAGTTGAGTCGATAAGGCAAAGTGCACTACAGTTCTTTTACCAAGTTCCTCAATCTATTCCCGTTGTGATTAAAGTGGAGAACCATTTCCCACGCAGGATAACAAGAAATTGAGGGATGCAAAATTTGCAAAAGACTTTCAAGCTGTGCTTGTAGAGTTTCAGAATGCTCAGAGAATCGCTCAGGAGCGGGAAAGTTGTACGCACCATTCATTCCTGAAGATGTATTATCAACAAGGTTTAGCCCGTGTTCCACCTTGCAACTCCTCTTATTTCATTATCTATTATACTATCTGGCCTAATTATTCTCATTGGGTTAATCAAAATTCTGCAATTTAGAGGACCAGGTGATTGTCTTCTTAGTGTGCTCGGATTTCTATATGAGGGTGGCTTACATTTTTGCTATCCATACTCATTCTAATCATTTTCTGGGAAAGGTACTCTTTTAATTCGCTCAGTCTTTCAGCTCATCTCGTTATCTTATTAAGTTTCCTAGGAAATAAAGTTGAGCTATAGAATGTGTCGGTGCACTGACGTAGGCTAGTTTTCTGGCCTTTTAATAACTCATGAGATGCATGTTTCGAGCAGGCAATATCCAAATGACGTGTATTCAGTGTCAGAGGAAAACCTGGAACAGAAAGCGTTCTATGCTGCACAAAGATCGTAAAAGCTTACCGTCTACTCTTAAAGAAGCTGGTTTTCCGTAAATCTGTTTGTGTTAAATCTGTTTTATATGCTTTGTGAAGTGCACGGCACATATCAGAGAACCCTTTCTTCAGTCAGATTTATTGAAAATTGACTAAGTTAATCAAACATTCACACATGTAATTTTGTAGTAATATATCATTATCTATTAAAAAACTTGATAAGATTTTTCATTCTTAAATATGAATATATGAAACACTTACAAAGAAACAAAACTCAGCAATTTTTTTTAATCAAAACACTCATTTCTATGAGAATGGTTGGTCTTTGGTTTGGATGGATGTTATTAATTTTTTAAATATACACAAAAAAAATATATAATTTTTTTGTTGTAAGAATCAAATTTAATTATATGTAAATTCTCTCTCTCTCTCTCTCTCTCTCTCTCTCTCTATATATATATATATATATATATATGTTATTGCTCCAAAAAATATATTTAAAAAAAAAGTGAAAATGGTCTATTAAATAATATTTTAATAAAATTGAGATAAAATAATATGATTGAGTCATTTTTAAAAATTTAAGTTCAATGAAAAAAATTGCACATAGTTGATAAATCTAACATCCTTTGATTTAATATTATTGTGTGTTTAAATAACTAATTAGAAAAATAGATGTCTCAAAATTCCTATAATAATCTAAAATAAAAAAATAACTAGAAGTAGAAGAGTAATTCAAAAGAAGTTCTACTATCTTAATAGTTTTACAACCAATTATTCAGATGTTGATTTAAGTAGTAAACAAAGTTAGAACATTATAGGGAATAATTTTCTATTTAGGTTTTGCAATTGGAATATAGCAATTTTGTAGAATTTTTGCAAATATTTTTAAAGACAAGAAAATTATGAAATATTAAAGAATTTTATATGTTATAAAATATTAGAAGGTGATAAATAAATATCAAACTAATTTTTTAAAAGCTTAAATTAGAAGATAGAAATATATAATCTTTGAATCATTTTAATGCTTTTAAGAAAATAATGTAGTTTACTCTTTATAAAGAAAGATCAAGTTTGAAAGTTGTGACTATTAATCTTGCCAAATAAAAATAAAAATAAAAATAAAATAAAATAATATATATATATATATATATATATATATATATATATATATATATATATATATATATACACACATATATATATATATATACACTCATATAAGAAAAAAATACACTACCATCTTTATTTCTAAGTACAAATAATTGAAGATACTTGAACTAATATTAAAAAAAATAATAAAAAATTAAGAATTATTTTACTATTACTTATATATATATATGATCTAGCAAGAATAGTGTGAAAAAGGTTTTTAATAACTAAAAGGTTTTTGGACCAAGTTTTAAAATTATAATATGCTACTATAGTGGCTTTTTAAATACAAATAACTTCCAAAAGAAAATTTCAAAGGCATATAATATATTAAAAGATATAAAAAAATCTAATATGTATTTATGAAACTTCATTGATGATTTTTAGGATTTTTTTTTTTATTTAATCTATTCTTATTTTATTTCTATTTAATTAAGTAGTTAAAGTAACTATAATAGTAGAAACTCTTTTTGGTTTCTTCTATCTTTTTTAATCTTTATAATTATACTACAAATATTATCTATTTGGTCATTTTTATTTTTGTTCTAAATTACAAGTGATTATCATAGGATCAGTTTAGATTTTCTAAACTAAAACTAGTTTTTAGAAAAATAAATACTTTGTATGGTTTTTAAAAATTAATTATATCTAAATATTAAATATTATAATCTATATATGATTTTTTCTCAACTTTTAAAAAACTTACAATTCTAAACGAATATTTCTATTATTTTCTTAGATTAATAGAATTTTAAAATTTAGAATCACTATTTAAAATAATAATCTTTATTTTAAAAAAATTATTTTTTATTATATTTTTTTCAAAGGTATATTCTTTTTTATTATATTTTATTATATAATTTATATATTTTTTTCTTTAAAATTATTTTTTCTAATAGAAATTGATATTCTTGTTATTCTAGTCTTGTTTGCATACAAAGGCTCATGTTATTTAAAAGCTGTTGTGTCGAAATTTATTGTAAATTTTTTTTTATAACATTAGTTAATTTTGATACTACTTTAGATTATATTATCTTTAAATTGTGTTGGGCTAATTTTTAAATATTTTTCTAAAAAATTAAAAACTAAAATTAAAATATACAATAATAATCATAATATATATTTTTTGATACTTCTAATGAGTATTTTTAAATTTATTAATTAATATTATATAATCACACACATACTATAAATATGATTAAAAATAATATTATAAGATTTTATAAGTAATTATTTACATAATATATTTTATGTATAAATATAAGTTATTTATGTGTGATTATGAATCTATATTAGAAATCCAAATTATTGATAGTATTTAAGTTTTTTAAAGTCAATTTACTTTAAAAATTATAATATTTTATTTTAAAAAATTATTAAATAGATTAAAAAGTAAAATTATCTTATTTAATGATATGTTATGATTTAATCTATTAGTGCATTGTTTATTATAGATACACTATATAAGAGACCAAACAAGAAATAAATATAAGAATTTCAATAATAGAGCTAATAAGAACTTGATTAAATTATATGAATATAAGATCAATACTAAAAGAGGTGAAGTTAAGCTCAAAGAGATGTGTTGTTGAAAGTGAGGATCTCCTTAGCTTCAATTCTAATATATACTAGGTATTAGGAAGCTTCCCAAAAAGTTTCCATATTGCTTGAAGATGAAGCAATCTTAGGAAGCTTTACAAATAACTTTCTTAATCTTCTTAGAACTTTTTATAATCTATAAGAATATTTTCAGAATCTTCTAAAATATTATAGAAATATTTTTATAATCTTCTATTAAAATATTCTAAGAATTTAAAACCTTCTAGAACTTGATCGAAAATTTAAGAATATTTCCAAAATCTTCTTTTTGGATGTTTGTAACATTACCTCTTCTTCTAACTTTCAGTTCTATAAGGAACATTGATTCCATATTTGCAATAGAATGATCAAAGCTTTAGCATCATCTTTAAGATTTTCTAATTAAAATTGATTGTAGCATAGGTGTTTCTTTCTTCCTAAATATTCAACTTCATCTTAAAGATGATCTTGTATAGGTTTTCAGAGCTAGAATGATTGTTCTATTAATAGTGATAAGAAAAGCTCCAACTTTGGCTCTATTTTGAAATTCACAATCTAAAAATTCTTTTATTCGATATATTTGATTATAAACAAGATAAAATACACTCTAAGATTATTGTGAGTAATAATTACTATTTTTATTATATACAACATCCTAATAGTAGCTTCATAGAACCGTCATCCTAAAATAACTTTAGGTTTTTGAGAATAGCATTGATGAAACTCTTGTATAATTTATGATGCACTGACTAGATTTTTTTGCTAGTTCTCACATTCGCTCAATGATATTGTAGTTGCGCCAATGAATAAAATTTTCCAACTTGCCTCTTCTTTTCGAAGAATCAAGGATTTTTTCTATTTCATATTTCATATGATTATTTATTTTAATGTAAGGTAGTGATGATTGTATTCTTCTTAGAATAGTTGATTATGAATAAGCTTCTAAGAAAGAAACATAAAAGATTGGATGTACCTACATAAATGTGCATAGTTCCAATTAATATGCCATTAGATTGATTTGCATTTGAATACAAAATAGTACTAGTCTTTAATAGTCAAACTTATTATAAGGTTAATTGCTCTTTGTATTTTATCAAAAAAGCCATACTTTATCTCCAATTTGAAAAGTAGGAGATTTTCTTTGTAAAATTATCTAAAGATGCTTTGTAAGAATCTTGTGCTACTTGTAAATAAAGCTTCAAAGTTGTTTAGAATTAGGAAAATATCAAGGATATAAACTCCAAAGAAAGATAATATCAATACACTTTTTTTTCGCTCGAAAATACTTAGAAATCACTCAAAGGTGATAATATATTGAATTAGAATGGCTATTGCCAAAGACTAGAAAACATGATGAGTCTTGAAACTAGACTGGAAATAAGAAAGGAGTTGACAAGAATGAAGAAGGCTTCACTCTTGTCTCTATATTTACTATCTAACTAGGGGCTACATGGCAACGTTCTATAGGACCTCTAATATGTGTTGACTTTGTAGGACACTTGCCTAGACTTATAAGATAAGTTTTTCTATATGTGGGCTACATAGTTAATTTGATCTTCAAGCTAACAACATGTGTGGCACATGGCCAACTTGTTGACCACGTTTCTAATCCAAAAAGTCAATTAAAGACACCTATGAAGTCAAAGCAGCGTCTATGAAGCTTCTAAGAAGCTTTTATATCAAATACTATAGAATTAACTTACTTTTATCTACTTTTACTTACTTCTACTTATTTATATATGTAATTATTAGCTTACATGAGTATGTCCGTGACATTACCCCCCCTTCTAGGGGCGAGTTCCACGAGGAGCGGTCATCATATGTTGAAGAAATCTATGATGCGACGAATTATATTCGCCACATACTCTGATCTTTGTTCTCTTCGAAGATGATTGATAGGACCTCTCAACCATCGGTAGTGTCCTATACTAAGGCGGAAAGACCGTCTAGTTATTTGGTCGTTGTTGAGACCTTCATAACTTCCTTCGAATAAAACATTTGAAACACCATCAGGAGTTGTTCCTACTTCTAGTAAAATCACCAAACATCGGGAGTCCCTTCGAAGGTCGTAATACCAAATGCGTTGTATCTCGCCATCTATTTGAAGAAGAACATATTGTTCTTGAAGATCTTCATCTCGATTGCATCGTCTTGAAGGTTGTGACAATTGTAATATCTCGTCTGATAAGTCAGCAAATGAAGGCTCTTGAGTCAAATCCGCTGGTTGTTGGTTCTCCATCTCTTTAGTGTCACAACTACAAAGAAGCTACAAACAAGGATTGAAAGTAGAATGTTATCTTGTCTAGATCTTGTTTCTTTTATAAAGAAGATTTTTATCTTGGTTTTGATGGATGTCATTGATGAAAAGCCTCCACCGCCTTTGTTGCATTTATAAGATTCTTTATTGGCTCCCATGTGGATTCACTAATATCATATCCGTGTCAATGGATAAAATATTCTAATTTATTTTGGCGCTGCCTTCAATTTAAGACTTCTTCTACTTCAAATTCTTTATTATTGTCCACTTCTATAGGAGGA